GTTTTTTTAGGTCTTAAGTCCTTCATTTTCCTTCCTCTCTTTCTCTTTTCTTTCTTGATCAAACTTTTTGATTCATTAAAGATGGCTTCTTCTTCTGCTGCTGCTTCCTCCATCTGTTGTTGAGTTTGCTGGTAAATAGCAAGCGCCATTTCTAAAAAGAGAAAGGCTTCTCCCACAGCGTACTTGCCTTCTTTGTTTTTCCATATTCCTTTCTTAGTTCATCAAGAGGTAAAGCCATTATAAACCTTTTCCTCTTCTTTTTCTTTTTCCTCTTCTTCTTGTTAAACCAACCAAGATATTTCAAACCTTAAAACAGTTCCCCAAAGTCCCAGAGTCATCAAACAGTCCAAACAGAGCACAAAGTTCTTCCCTTTGCAATTTCTCTTCCTGGGGTAATATCAATTAGAAAAAAAACCAATCTGTATTTTAAAGCCTTATTGCAGTTAACTTCTAGTCTCTAAATCTTCAAGGCATCTCCTCCAACAAAATCTTAATATAAGTTTTTTTTTCCAGTCCTCTCCCTTCCCACTTGTAACAAAGAGCTTTAAAATTTTACCTTCTATAAAAAAGCAGGTTTTTCAGTGTCCATTTGTTAACTCCGTAAGGGAGGGAGAGTAAGCTTTCCCTTTCAGCACTTCCATTCACTGCTTTAAAAATCTCCACTGGAAACAATGTATCATCCAAAAGATCATGGTTTTCAGGATATTAAGTGTATCTTAAAAGTCCTGGTTCAGCCAAAAAACTTTCACTTTACAACTTTCTCCTTCTTCCTCCTGCACAGTCTTGTCCAGCTGCCGGCTTCTTTGTGGCGGCCATTACAGACCGCTGCTCCACCGCCTTGAGAAAAGGGGGTTTTGCTGGCTGGGGAGGGGGTCTGCGATACCCCCAAACCCCTATCCGGATCCCCCCTGTCTTCGGCTGCCTCTACGGGGCAGCCTTATCTTCCAGACCCGTCAGGATCGGAGGCACCCAGACGGCTAGCATGGCAGGGATCGCGCAGGATCGCAAATCCCTGCCGTCGCCGAAGCCTGGCAAACCGGAAGTCGTTCATTCTTTTCTATCTCTTGTTGTAAATCGCCCTTCTCGTCTATTAATTGGTATATCAATCTCTTTTCTTTCCTTTTTTTAAGTTTATAAGATAGCCATCTTCCTGGTTTATTTGCATATTCAAAATAAATTTGTTTAGTCATTTTCAAATTTATTTTTCCATTTTTTCTTGTTCCATTAAGTTCAATTTATGTTTGACTGTTATTATCTGATTTTGTACTCTTTGGTTTTTAGGGTTTTTTTGTAATTGGATTTCTAATTCCTTAATTTGTTGTTGTAATTTATTTTGTTGAGCATATTTTCTTTTATTTCTCATGGCATTATAAGAGATTGTTATTCCTCTTATAACTGCCTTCAATGTATCCCAGATATTTTGTTTCGAGGTTACATCATTATCATTTTCCTTTAGGAAATAATTTAATTCCTCTTTAAGCTTATTAATATACTCTTCTTCTCTTATTGTTTAATGTCCATCTTTTCTTTGGTTTTTTCCTGCCTTTCCAAATTATTTGAATTGGGTTGTGATCACCCCATTCATTTGGTAAAATTTCGATTCCTTTTATTTCATTTGCAATTTCCCCATTCATCCACACCATATCTATTCTTGTCCATATTTTATGTGGGTTCGAGTAAAATGTAAATTGTTTTTCTTCTGGGTTTAATCTTCTCCATAAATCCACCAAATTTGTTCTTCCATCATTTTTTACATGTCTTGGGAAACCCTCTTTTTCCTTTTTTGTTCTTGCTCGCATTACTATGGTCCTTTTGGTAATCAGCAATAGAGTTAAAATCGCCTATGATACAGATGTTCCTTTTTTCAAATCACATTATTTTTTGGTGTAAATATTTTTTAAAAAATTTCTGTTCTTCATTTGGAGCATAAATTGCTACCAATAGAAATGAAATAGTATTAATCGAGATTTGTAAAACCAGAGTTCTTCCTTCCGGGTCTGACCAAATTAGATCTGCTTTTAAGTCATCTTTCACATATATTGCAATTCCTTTCTTTTTTTGTTTATCTGCTGGTGCCGTAAATAACTTCCCTAGTTTAGAGCAAATTAAATATCTTTCATCAATTTTCCTTATGTGGGTTTCTTGTAAACATATTATGTCGGTGTTTTGTTTAATTAATTTGGCTATTGTCCTTTACCTTTTAGTTGTCAAATTTAAACCATTTATATTGATGGATAGAAGTTTCTTTTCTTCCTCCATTTAGTTAAATCTGTTTCGCTTTTTGTCTCATGATAATTCAGCTCTCTCCTTGTAGTTGTTATGGGATTGGTTCTTCTCTCTCTTGATGTGGGTAGTCATTCCCTTGGCTTTGCGGGGGGGTCCTTTTTTATTTCTAAGGCAACTTCGGTCTTCCTGCGAATTTCTTCTTGATTCCTCCTTACTATTTTGATCTTCCGTACCTACTAACTGTTCATAAAAGTCTTGTGCCCGTTCCATAGTCTCTATTTTGATTTTTCTTTCTTTCCATGTTACTAACATCCCCTCTGGGATTAACCATTTGAATGGAATTCCTTTCTGATTTAGAAAACTGGCTAGGAATTTGTAATCTCGTCTTATTTCCCTTATTCTTCTTGGAATTTGCTTGAGGATCATAATCTCTTTGCCCTTGTACATTATTGTTCCATCTCTTGACATTCTGAGTATTATATCTCACACACTCCTTCTTGCAAAATGGATGTGAACCTCTCTTGGACATTTATAGCGTCTTGTGTAGTTGGTACTGACCCTATAGACTTCATCAAATTCCTTGAGTATGTCGTCTTTGTCTTTTCCTAATAATTCAGCCAGTATTTCTGCCGTTAGCTGCTCCAGACAAAGCTTAGAGCCTCCGCATTTCTCTGTCCACGTGAAAACTGTGTCTGTCTTGGGAAGCCCTGTAAGCCGTTGCGCCTGCAAAATAAGATATCTCCTGAAAACAAGACCTAATGGGTCTTTTGGTTTGTGTGTGTATGTATGTATATGTATGAAAATAAATTTAAAAGACTCAGTCTTATTTTCGGGGAAACACAGTAAGTACGACTTTTGTTTGTAAACAAAAGTGGTACAGAGTGGCTATAGCCATTCATTCACCTTTACATATATTTAATAATCTGCTCAAAAGACTCCAGGCATTTGATAAAATAGATTAATAACTACAAGCATATAAATTGTAATACATCTCACATGGCTTTATTGTACATATGCAACAGACTAACATGAGTAACCTTCTGGACAGAATATAAGAGGGGTAACTACAGACTGAAAGAATTCATGTACCAAAGGAAACAGATGTAGGATTGAAACTTTTTTTGCCTTAAAAGAACCCATTCTTGAAATTTTACAGTTCTGATAAGCATAATATATCAATGCATATTATTAATCATGATAAAATAATCTGAAAATTCTATTTCAGCTGCACCAAGGATGATACTTTTATGGCCTATCCCATCATTGAGCATTACGGGAGATTCAGCTTCAGGTCCTTCAGATTTCTAAAACATTACCCATCCGTTTATCTTCGCTGTGAAGTTATAATTTGTGACAGCAAGGATTCTAATTCTCGCTGTACCAAAGGTTGCATTTCTCGGCATAAGAGAGATGTTTCCTCCTACAAATGGAAAGGCGATGCTGTGATTGGACCCCTCAGACTGAAAAGAGAAGAAAGTTCCATAGATCGCTCAGGTGAGAATGTTTTCTTGAAATTGATTACATCAGTAGATTTAACAGGGGTTTTTTTTGCGAATTGTTTAAGAGCACTTTCAGTATTATAAATAGCAATCAAAGCATGCTACCACTGAACTACAGACAAGCAGAACTGCCAGTATCTCCATCTCTACCCAATCAATCATAAAATACTGGCTAAAAAAGTTATAGCCAACAATTTTACACATTTTATTGTATTGTTCCATGATTTTGGAATTTGTGAAGACCCTTTAACCTCTTTGTCTTCTGTTTTTTTATATTCAGCCATTTCCAGTGAAGTTTATCCAGAAGAAAGTCTTAATGCACAGCCCCAGACCCTATATATCCTTGCATTTATTGTGTTGGCTACTAACATAGTACTCCTGGTTGGTCTAGCAGCAAAGCGTCTCATTACTCGAGAAACTGGATACAGATACCAGAAATTGAGTAACTAACAAGGATCTTCACCTGACTCGCTTTTCACCTACAGAGATATGAATGGAATGTTCTGTTGTCTTTCCATGATTTTTCCTTAAAGGATAATTTCATTTAAGATCAATGAATTATAGCATTAAACACATCTGGAAGGGAAATAGCCAAATACAAAACACACATACACACAGTTACATCAGATACCAAAAAAAGGAAATTGAAATTGAGGAAACCTATGGTCATAAATATGATTCTGCTCTTCCCCCCATCTTTTTCTTCTGGTGAATTTTTCAAGAAACACAGATGGCTGTGGGAAAGAAAACGGCCAGGAATATTCTCCTTCCATGAACTCCTTCACGTTAAATTTATTTTCAGGCAAACCCTTTAACCTTGTTTATGTATTAATACACAATCATTCAAGGAAAGTACTAAAGAAAAGTATACATAAATAAATCATAGAGAAAAAATAGTTTTTAATGTCAGAAATCATTTGATTCTATTGCTGTACTACAAAAATTCATCATATGTGTATTTACCCATGAATCGTTGTCAAATAGAGATAAATATATACAAAATAAGATCAGAGCAAATACATTTTGAAATATCTAGAAGTTCTACATGGATAACAAGACCAGATACAGAATGTGCCAATGAAATACACTGACTCCCTTCCCTTAATTAATCTGCTTTTTTCTAAGATTGATTTAGAACCCAGAATGAATGGATATAATTTATTTTATGTGAAATTACCCTACACTTAACTATAAAAATATTGTTAAATGTTGATAAAGCTACAAAGCACTTTATTTAGAATGTTTCAAAATAATTTAGTAAGACATTTATCATGCCCCAAACTAATTTTTAAATAGTTACAAATAAATAGGTCATAAGTAGATGTAGAAAATATTCTGAAATGTAAAAAATACTTATTACGCACATTACAGATATATAACAATTAATATTAGCACATAATACTTGCAAAATTACATAAAAAGTACAAAGTTTGAGATGTAAATGTTTACAAGCTTATAAGCAGAAAGTTTGTAAAATACAGACCCATTCTTATAAAACATATTAAGGTCTTTGATTTTTATAAGGATTTCCTACCTCTTCCCATCTGTGTTTCCTTCTTTCAAAGGATCACATTCTTGAGAAACAATATTGAAATTATTAACCAAATCCATGATTAAAGCAAGTTTATTATCAACATGTTCTTGAAGTTTTTGCATACGTAGGTCAATATAATCCATTAATCTCTTCTCTGTCACGTCGATCTTTTTGGACATGAACTTTTCCAAATACAGACAAATATGCTTCTGTTCTAAACTGCAAAAAAATGCAAACAACCAAAAACTGATCCATGCCATCCAAAAGTATAAATTATGTACCCAAAGTAGCATGAATTTTACAAATACTCTAGTAGAATATCTGACAATGAACAATTAAAATCTGAAAATCTTTCAAAGCTAACATTACTTAATAGTACACATACTAATAATTTAGAAATCTTTAATGTGTGTTTTTAAATATTAAGCAGTATCATCTACCAAATGAGAAGATGATTTATTAAATTAAGTCAATCAAATACCTCTGGTAAGGCAGCAAGTAAAATATGGTTATAGCCCCTTAATGAATACAGAGGCATACAATTCTTCAGCATTTGAGTACAGATAAAGTAACCATTACATTACATTGGAATTGGAAGAAGACACTGTTTCAATATGAATTTTGTGAATTATTGTACCCAATGCTATAGTGTGCTTCTACAAGTTTGTTGGATTCTTATTACTGATGTATTATTTCGTGTTCTTATCACTGTGAGTTACTCAAAATCATTTGATAAGTGGGCACCCATATCAACTGAATAAGTAAATAAATATCTTTCTTTTCCGTGATTTCATGCCAGCATCTTAAAACAGTAAATATTCAGAAAATATCTGCATAGTGAACTATCTTTCAAACTCAACTGATTAATCTTTTGTATAGTTCCTACCATCAGAGTGCAAATATTTATGGAAAGTGAACCATTCAGAAGTTAGTAATTTGAGTGCCCTCAAAACCCAGGTAAATTCAAACTCAGGTTTTGTTAACAGTTACCTAGTTCAACTGCCTGGGTAAAGTCTACGTTTTTTCAAAGAGGCATTTTGAGCCCAATTTTAAAAATGGATATTTTTTTTCAATACAAACTCACCCAACAGTTTGAATTCCATCTTTCTGAGAAGCAAACTTGTTTTCACAACATTTATCCTTTTCATCTGTGGGCAGACGATCTACTTGACCACAGGCTGTTTGAAGAAGTGGAAGCAGCAATGAGGAATTAGGTATATTTGAATTTTCATTTCTTTGTTCTTGAAAAAACGATGCTAGCAATCCTTTACAGTCACTTTCAGAATGTACAGTACAAGGCTGAAGTCCAGGGAGCTCAAATAAATTACCTGTAATCTGTCTGGTTATCTTGGAGTGTGCATTCAAATCCTCTGCAACTGTTTTAGCTACCAAATTAGCTTTTAAAAGAGAAGGTCCATTGGACAAGTGGTCTAACTGTTCAAAGTCAGAGGTCTTTTTCAATCCATCAATGGGATGATTTTTTCCATACACAAATCCATTTCCTCCTAAGATGGTTTGTAACTTGCCTCCAAAAGAAATCCCATTCTAATGGAAATAAAATACATGGTCTCATTAATTAGATATATAATCCAAAAAAACAATTGTACAATTTCTAATCTCAATAGTATTTCTTTGTATATTGCAGATTCATATTGAACTGATGAATAATGCCCTTATTGGAAAACCATTTGCTCAATGTGTTGTTTTTCTAATAATTTTCTATATTTAACCCATTGGCTCCTGCTAACCCTGGCTATGTTGGAGAGAAACTCACTGAGCAAGGGGCAAGAACCAAGCAGGAATTAGTCTGGAACTGTTATGTGGGCATAACAGGGCAAGGTCCAATCCCCCCTGAATGTTCTTGAACCTAGTTTGGCCCAGATGCAAACTGCCACTGACCTGTGAAATAGGCACGAGCAAGAAAGTAACTAATGGAATTCTTCATTGAGTTGTATAGATCTGATTGTCCATGCCTAACAGGTTGTTTGATAATATTGTACTGAACTTGGCTTTATTTTACTATAATTTTTGATAGGACATAAATAATTTGGAGCTTTCAAGAATAAAGTATAAATAGCTCTTTTCATTGTTATCTTAAATTCACACTCTGCTAAATATGGAATGAGCAGGACAAATGAAAAGGAGAGTAACAGTGGTAGAGCAGAATATAATTGCATTTTCACAGTTATTTTCTTAATTACTGGATTGATCCAGACCTTAGAAGCATGATAATTAATGAATTACATAGCTTCCAATCAAATGACACCCACATTCACAGTTGAATAGTATGACTACCTGAAACACCAGTGCAATTGTCTTGGCAATAATATAGGAATTGTTTGCCATCCCCTAGTTCATTTTTTCCTTCTAGACTATCCTACAATTCTGGACTCTGGTAGCCTCCCAAGTACTATGCAAAACTGAGCTTATCTATGTTTGGAGTCTAATTGGAAGATTCACGTGTTACTTTAACTTCAACTTATATATCCCCTACCTTTCCAGACCAATTATGCAACTTTGTGTTACATGTCTAATTATCTATCTTCACTATGCAAAAAGACCACATAATTAATCTGTAAAGGAACACTATATATAAACAGAAATTCTACTACACAATTAAATTTTGTATGAGACATTAGGAAGGCAAAACCTGCCTTTATTTCTGTTACTTAAGAGCACACAAATAATATACAAGTGAAGAATACAAATATCCCATATTATACAGTCTCTTCTATATCTTGCACATAAAAAGGACGTTTTATGAACCGTGTTTTGCAAATGGTAACTTACCTTCTGTTGAAAACGAACCATATCTAGGAGTTGTTGTGCCCCAGGTGATAATTTGGATCCCATTGATTCCATTATAGTTTGTACTTTATCTAGGTCTATTCCTGATCCTAATGTAACATTTGGCACAGTTTTTGCACAGGCTGACTGGACTTGTACTATGATTTTATTGATGAGTACTCTTTGTTTTCCACTGATGGATAATAGCTAGTGAAAAGAGAATTCTGGTGAATTGAGGAAACAATTCAATTAATTTAAGATACCTCTTTAAAAATAACCTCCAATTTTCTCCTCTTAACTCTCATGGTAAGCCTTATGCAGGTGCTAATAATAGGTCTGATATAACTAAACATAAGAATAGGCTAATAATACTAGGTTGAAGCAAAACAGTAGTTGTATTAAAATTTGTTATTAGATACCATTAAATCCACAATTTCAAGGATTAGTTTCTTGATTCTGCACTCATGTGACTTCAAGCTTACATCTTATGGAACTTTTGAAAGCAAAATGTCCATTATGTCAGTAAACATGAGTTTCTAATCTTTTATTTTCTGAAAAATCGAGAACCTCTTTTCTATTTTCCTCTGATCAGTTTTATATTAGTTAGGCATACTGAGTCAGGCCAGGGATGGAGGTTAAAGAATGAAGAAAAGTTCTGGGATAGATATGCTTATTGCACATTTGAAACTGGGAAGGAATAGTTTTTCAGAACAAACCCTTGGTGCTTCTAAAAGTTATCAATCTGTCTCCCTATCATAGTTTACTTGTGCTATATTGCTTTTTTTCCATTTCTAAATATCCTCTTTACAAACAGAGAGAAAGAGATAATTAAAAACTACTTATAATCAAAATGTCTGAAAGAAAAATATCACAGATTAAAGGAAATGGTCTTCTTTTTACAACTTCTGAAATGTAAGAGGGAACACAATAATTTTATTTATCATCATTAGGGTAGTACAAGGCAGTCAACAGAGGCTCTTTATAAAGCACATCTCTTCTCAAATCAGCTCTATCACTGGAAGGCCTGTACAACTACTTCAAATATTGTCTCAAGAAGTTTGCAGGTGTGCATGTCCAGCTGCTTTATTTGCAGTTTCAGAAGTATTGCCTGTGTATACCGATACACATACAGTACGTACATTCAGCTGGAGAAAGTTTTCAGAGAACCTGCAAGACAGTTGTTTCAATGCTTTCAGGAGGAGTGCTTCGCACACTATCATGCTTTGCAAAGGCCCTCTTTAAAATAATCTGCAAAACTCCTGAAACTATCTTTAAAAAAATGAGCCAAAATTTAAGAGGGTTTTTTTTTTGTAATAACCTACCTTAATCTTACAAGAAACCGTGGGACATTCCATTTTAAGATATTTTTTGTATAATGAAACCTGGTCACCTTTGCTAGAAAAAAGCAAAATAAAGGAATTGTAATTTTTTTATAAATATTGCATCAGTGAAATAGTTTTTCATAAAGAACAATACAACAAATACTGATGTTTTTCAAGATGCTACTTACATTTTTCTAACATCCAAATAAACAAGACAGCACTAGTACATTTTCAAATATTAGAAATTTTCAATAGCTCTTACATTTTCTTAGTAATCTGCATAATATAAGCAGTTACTTATATATAGCAAAAAAAACTAAAAACCCCACTCACAATCCATAAATTCTATGTACATGGCAAGCACTTCAGTGTTAACACTGAAGGTACCTCTATCAAATGAGTACCTCTATCAAATGTGGTACTCACTGAATTCCACTGAAGGTTCCCCCCCCCCCAAAAAAAAATCACAAGGTCAGGAAAATAGATATTAAGAGCTATAGTGAGATGAATAAGAAAATTGCAATGCTTAATGCTCAGCAGGAGCTCTAACAATGAACTTTATAGTTTATTTTAGCTATTTTGGAGAAAAATATCAAAAATAAATTTAAAAAGTTAGTCATCCATATATGATTAAAAGTCTGCTCCAGGATTATTTTTAAATAAACCTCTTGGAAGCAACCTAGCTATAAGAGTTCTCTCTCCTTATATAATTTGAGCATGTTTAAATAATCTTTTTTTTTCTTTCATGTAATGAAATATTATTAAGATCTCTATTAGTATGTCAAATTATTAATATTGTATCTATTATATTCCTGCTATCCCAGCATGATTCTTTAGGAGAAAGACCTTTCAAAAATTTTCTAACCAATCATCAAAATGTTGCTTTTAGTTTGACTACATTAGCAAAATGCAATCTACATACCAGTAAGAATGCAGAATGAAAAAAAACAATCAAGCCACATTACTGACATATAAATAATAAAATATTTGATATATAATTTCTGGAAGTCTTACCTGCGAGACTAAATATAATGTTACTATATTATTGACTGAATCAATGTGAAAAAAGACAAACAACTGACCTGCCATGTTTGACAGTACACACTCGCTCTCCCCTTCCAGTTCCATAGTATTCATCTCCTAAGTAGACTTCCATGTTCCTTGCTTCACTTATAATACTTAGACTGACAATTTCTTCAGATCCACATGGATCACAGTGCAAGGACAGTAAACAGGGAACTACACCGTCATCATTTATTTGTTCTTCAAGAACAACATTCTGACTAAATAAGAGAGAAAGGTTATTTTAAGTAATTTAAGTAAATGAGTAATTTAATTACTCATTTAAATAATCAGTACATCCGGGAAACAAATGTTTCAAATATACATGACAAAAATCCAAATATTTATCCCATGGCTAAAATCTGACACAGGTCTTCAAACGGCTCTCTCTTCAAAGTGTTATTGTAGATACATGAAGAAGTGGTTTTTCCTACCCTTTGAAAAGAGAGGCTAAATTTAGATTCAGAAAACTGAAGCATGGACTACTGAAAAGAAGAAAATGAATCTTGAGAGCAAAAACTGTATGGCGTCCATACATAAAAGAACTGAAAACTGCTATTATCCAAGGATTCCAAACATTTTTTCTACAGTCCTCAATCTCTAGGGACAGCATCAGCTTTTCTTTATTTCTGTTTCATTGAAAACATTGACTTTCTACATTTTCTACCCTGTCAATTACCTCTCCTGCTCATCTCCTCTTTTGTTTTCTCTTTCTTTCTCTTCCTGCGTAGCCATCCTTTCTCATCCTATTTCCATCTCATGTTTTCCACTTGTTTTACTTGGTAAAATAAAGGAAGATATTTATGTATCTGAATGTGTATAAGTGAATGAGGCAGTAGTCTGTGGTGAAGGAAAATGGTTAGAGGATGTGTATGTGTGACGAAGGAATCAATTTTTTAGAATATGGATTCTGGCAAATGAGTATATGTATAAAAGAATAATCATCAAGACTACTTTTAACTGAGCTGGCAACCCTAGGTTAACAAATCAGGGAAGCTAAAACAAGTTACATAGATTTGAGTGTACGTCTAAACATTTTTGTGTTGGGCTGATACAAAAGATAAAGACTAAAATCAACTTATTGACAGCCAGGGATTGCACTGGGTGATAGTGGAGAAAATCACTGTGGATACCTTATATGTATCATAAGTGGGGGGGTGGATTTTTGCTTTGCTAAAATAAGTGTGGATTATTATTTATCTTGTGTATGTTTAAATCTGTCTAGCTTATTTTAGGATCTGCACTGGAGCTTTTACACAACCAAGAATGAATGACTAATGAAATAAGTATGAACCGAACACAAAAAGGAGTTATCAATATTAAACAAGTATGTTGAGACTGTTTGATTACAAAGGCCTTCCTTAACAAACAGTAACTGGGGCTGGCAACTCCATGCTAAGCAACATAGTCATAAAAAGCAATGTCACATGACTGTACTGATTTACAATGGCAGTTATTGTTGCAAATCCTCCATATTGTTCGGTGTGACATCACGATTGTCATTTGCGACCTCCTGCCAGATTCCCCATTGACATTGTTAGTCAGAAGCCAGGAGTGAAGGTTCAAATTGTAATGCAACAGAGGATGCTGCAACCATTTTAACCGTCAGCTGCCAAAAGCCCAAACTGCAATCATACAACCGTAGGAATGCTGCAACAATGAGGGCCAGTGACAGTCACCTTATTCAATGTCATAATATCTGAACGTGTGGTCATTAAATGAAAACTACTTGTTTAGAGAATGAATGAGAACCAAACATGAAACAAATCAATAAAGGAAGATAAAACAGGTCCAGAAGAAAAGTAAGCCCTCAAAAGTTGTGACTGGATGCAGGTGGGGAGAACTCAGAAAGAGGGAGGTAGAGAAGTTTAAAAAACCAAAAGCCGATGAAAGGAATGGGTGCAATAAATGGATAGATGGATTGCACAGAATTGTTTGGAGTGAAACATTAAATGTAAACTAGATTTGATTCAATTTATTTTCTTTCTATCTTTTGCCTTTCATTTATTTTGCTATTTCTTACTATTTTCTCCTTACCCTTCACACAATAAGGCTTAATTCAAAATGGATTAATTCACTTTTGGACATTTGATTCACTCATGGCACTAAATCTGAGCAAATGGGAAGGGGGGAGGGGGGCAAGAAAAACATACAGTTAATTGTCAGCAGTTCTGCTCCAAGATGTTGGGGAGGGAGCCGCAGAAAACCCCATCAATTGTTTCTCCTCCTCCAGTTCCCACTTGCTAACCGCAGATTTGGTGCCATTAATAAACCCAGTCCTTCTATTACAATGGTTTTAAGTTTTATTTTTTATTTTTTTGAAGCCTGACTAGCCAGCAAATCCCAACAGATTGGATTCACACATCCAGGTAAACCATATGCCGCGATGTACAGAATGCATGCCACAGCCCATGCCCGAATTAAACAAATGACGGGCTCCTCACTGCACACCAGAAAAACTAGACACAAGAACAGTTTTTTCCTCAAACACCACCACTCTGCTAAACAAATAATTCCCTCAACAGTCAAACTATTTACTAAGTCTGCATTATCCTCATATTAACCTTCTCATCGCTCCTTATCACCCATCCCTTCCCACTTGTGACTGCACGACTGTAACTTTTGTTGCTTGTATCCTTACGATTTATATTGACTGTTTCCTAGTATGATTTGATTGCTCATTGTACCCTATGACTATTATTAAGTGTTGTACTTTATGATTCTTGACTCTTGAACGTATCTTTTCGTTTTATGTACACTGAGAGCATTTGCATCAGGACAAATTCCTTGTGTGTCCAATCACATTTGGCCAATAAATAATTCTATTCTATTCTATTCTGAACTCAGCCTGGATAGAACTACTCAACCACCCTGCTGAGGAAGCCTTGGCATCACCAGGCCACTCCTCGGCCGTTAGCTACACTTCAGCGGTCCCCTTTTCCCTCCCCGCCTCAAAAGGCCCTTCTCACCCGTTCGGGGCGGGTTCCGAAAGCTCCTCCGTATCGAATTCACCCGTCGGGACGACGCAGAGAACACTCGCCAGATCGCTCGGACACACCCAGGAACAGGCGACCGAGACGCGGGAGCCGCCGGCAGAGTCGTCCCAGCCAGACTGGGGCTTCTCCGTCAGGCTGCTCCTGTTACTCGCCATGGCCAAGTAAGAGACCCAAGGGCCTTTGTAACACAGCATCCCCGGCCGGGGTGAAACCCTGGCGGAGTAATTTTAAGGCGGAACTGAATATCCAAGGGACGCGTTGCTCACCGGACGTAGGTTTATTGGAACTTCCGCCTTCTCACAAATTTAACCATAGACAAGGAGACCCCTGTCGTCGGTATAGGTAGGAAGTGAGTTGTTCAAGCACGTGATAGCGCCGCGGCTCCTTTGTCAGTAGAGCGACCTGCCTGTTTTTGGTGCTGTGGCTCTCCGGAGCGTTGTGCTTCCTGCAACTGTCTGTCGAGATAATAGAAGACCGGCATTTGCTGATTGCTGTAACGTAGCCACAGTGTCTTTGCATCCAGTCCCTCTTCGGCAATAGAAGCCAAGAAGGAAACTCGTGGTTATTTTAAGGTTCTGGGTGCAGAGCAAATAATGTAACATGTTTTTAAAGAAATGTTTTCCTGATGTTTCCTGTATTCGAGAGTAAAATTAAACTGCCCGGCATGACTAAAAATGAAAAAATGCCCATACTCCTCTCAGGCAATCCAAGATTGCAGCATCCCTTGCCTGCAGGTAGTGATTATAAAGCTGGGTCTTCCTTGTAATCAAAAGCTTGCAACGCGCGGTCTGTCCTGCTCCATGTTTGCTTGCTTGTGTGTGCGTGTGTGTGTGTGAGGGAAGGACAGAGAGAGATGGAATATAAGGAAATGGATTCACGTTAGGCACAAAGCCATGATTTGCTTAAAAAGAATTGTCAGGGTTTGCCCAGTTTAGGCAATCATGGATTATAGACTGTTTTATGGCTTGGGTTGATGGGAAAACTTAACAGAAATTTATTTGCATAACCCTTGAAAATGAATGGCTATGGAGATTCTCAGTCATCCAGGTCATGGTTGTTCCAAAGAAAGTCCAGTTGCCTCTTGAAAAAACACCATTGGGACCTTGGAAATTGAATGAAATCTGTACTATATGTATAGTGCAGATATGCAACACTGTTTGCAATGGCTTTCAAAGAGGCTGGAGTAGAGGCCATTCAGGCTTTAAAAACCCTCACAACATTTTGATCACTGAAACTGCAGTGCTATAGAACAAACACACGGAAAGTAGAAATACTTTGATTGAAAGTCATGCTTAGGCCAATGAAGTTTTATAAAATAGTTTTTCAGGAATTCTTAAGAGTTTGCATGACATTTTCATGTTAGTATGTTGCACAAACCAAACATTGATTAGTCAAGGCAAACTCATAAAACTGGTTTGTGTAAACCATTGTTAACAATGAATAAGCATGTCTTGTAAACACAATTTTCATCAGATGATATGGTTAAAAGTTAGAAAAATGGAGATAATAAAGAGCTAAACAAGGAGTTGCCAAAAGAATGGATGGAATAAAAAATAAAGGGCTGAATTATCTGGGATAATCTAACAGGAAGAAATGAAAGAGTATTTTAGAAATCCACTGGTAAGTTTTTTGATTCATGGGCAAATATCAGTACTTCAGATCAGTTGATTATTTCTGGCACTGCAGGAATACCATTGGTTATTTAAATCTGCTTAATGGCAATTGTGGAAGGGGGAGAAAATATGCAAATGCATACGAGTTCATCAAACTTAATGCTGTCAGTCTAAATAGCAGAAAACTGCACAGCTCAAGAAACTCAAGCTGAGTGACCAATCTAAAACAGGAAGGATTCCTTCAGGTGAACTTGAAAAAGAAGGCAGAAAAATCTTCCCTTTTCTACCTCCCTTATAATATCTTTCATTCCCCCAAATTAGAATATCTGTTCAGTCTGTTTCCTACTTCCAGTCCCAATTGTGGTAGTAAGTCAAGGACTACCTATATACTCTTAAATAAATAATATGCTTGGAATTGCTTTTATAGACTGTCATCTTTTGTAGTTTGTCAATATTTTCTATAGAAGACATTACATGAGTCATTAGACTTTTTAAAAAAAAATGAAGGGAAGCTAATTTGGGCTCTTCTATGGAAAATTGGAAAAAGGCAAAAGTTTATTCTGAACATCTATTTCCCCTTGTGAACAAAAAAAGAAACAGTTTAGTGTCATGTTTTTTGTTTCTGCTTTTTTTTTGCAAACTAGCGAGCATAGTATATATGTATGTGTGCATACATACACATACACACACACTTATGGGGGTAAGTTGATTCATACAATAACAAATACATAGGTCAAACTAGCAATGGGGAATAAATAAAACACAGATCTAAAGCACCCCATTTTTCAATGACCAGAAAATAAAAGGATATCTATCTGATGCCATATGAAAAGTCTTTTTGACTAGCTATTCAAAAGGTATATGCCATTTTTGTTTCCTTATCTGATTGCAAACCCTAGAGCAGGGCTTCCCAAACTTTTGGACCTCAGGGACCACCAAATTCATAATTTTAAATCCCGCGGACCAGAGATCCTGGAAAAATTCAAAAAAAAAGTATGCAGGAAAATTCCCTACCCTGTTTTTCTACCGATCGACCATTGTTTATTTGGGATCACAGGATACCATCTCCGGCTCTGTTCTCAGGGGGAGAGAGGGACAGAGACTTTTGGCTTCATGCAAGGAAAGTAGCAGAAGCAGCAGAAGTCTTTCTCTCCCCCAAACTTTGCCAGAAATGAGTATTTGTGAGACTTGTCACACCGGCACAGCCTCTTAGAACAGGATGCCTTGCAGAGTCCCAAAGACTCATTTCTGGCAGAGTTTGGGGGAGATAAAGTCTTTTGCTGCTTTCCTTGCATGCAGCCAAAAGCAGAAGAAGAAAGAAGTGAAAAGAAGCAGGCCGGTGGTCAGGCCAGGCACATGGAGTAAATGGGGAAAGTTCTCCCCCTCCACTCTTTCCCCCCTACCTCGACTACCTCATATTGTTCGCAATACAAGCCTTGTCTTCCTGCACAGCCAGGATTAATTGCTTTGGGGGTGACATTTCTCTGCGGACCAACAAAATTTTCTCGTGCACCACCAATGGTCCCCGGCCCACTGGTTGGCAACTACTGCCCTAGAGGACAGCTTCAGAAGTACTGTACTTTGGATTCAAATCCGTGAATACGGCTAGTGATAGACCACAGGTATCCTGGCCTTAGGCAAATGCATTTTTTACAAATCCTTTTTAAAAGCCTCCTTAAATTTGATTGGGAAACCGACCAGTTCTCTATGCAATGCCCTGACAATTAATTAATTAATTACTCTTATCTCAAATTCAATATCTTCTAGATTAACTGGTCTATAAGTTTGCCATCCTCAGCTGATTGGGGATGGTACCCAGAGTCCTTCAGCAAATTTGCAAACAGATAAAAAGTATTTTATTATAGTTGTATAGTTACCCTCGATTAGAGGTCTAGGCATTTCATAATTGATTCAAGGCTGAAATAAATGATAAATATAAATAATAGAAAAAACAACTGAGGGGTGTCATCCAAGAACTTTTTCTCATATTTCAAATGGGAAATATTTAATTGCTTAAATAATTGCCGGAAGATTACTTTTGTCTCAACAAAATTGTGGTTGGTATATCATCTTAACTTATAACAGGAACTTTGGGCTAGATCTAGGAATATCCCCTCCCCCCAAAGTATGAGTTTTACCTTTCAAGGGAAGTTCCACTATCTCAAAAATAGGATGAATGTTGCTTAGCTGGCAAGTGAAAGTCATCTGCAATCATTCACATCTGAGTTTTCAGTTCCTTGACCCCCAATCAAGCCATTACACCACAAACATTGGTGCAGAGACATCTTCCTTGCCTTTAATGAAAAAAAAAAAAACAGCTCTTCCATGCAGATCTCTCAATCTTGAAGGTCTCAAGGAAATACAATACATCCAAGACGTAGAGACTATGTAACCTATACTGACACAGCAAGAATTTCCATGCTTACCTTCTGGAATCAATTATCCAAGGAATGAAGTAGCATAAAATATCTCTCTGTGAAACCACTTAGTTAAAAAAAATTGATGGTATTGAAAGACCATCATGCATAGATACTTTCTGCATTCAGAAAAATACTGAAATTAATCAAAGATTTCATTGACTCATAATTCATGACTACTTCCACTCCCAAAGCACTTTTGCCTTCTTATCACTTAGTATAATTCTGTAGTTAATGTGTCAAGTATATTCAGGTTTCCACACCCAGAGGAAACCTTGACATAACCTGCCCACGATTTTATAACATTTCATAATGGTGACGGGGATATCTATCAAATTCTTGGCCAACTGTTGACTTACGTGAAATAGTTCATAGTACAATCTACACATTTATTTCCCGCCTACATGGGTTAGATTTGACAGAATGCCTGAAGAAATATGAACTGAAATTTGTGACATTAAATAAAAACAAATAGAACTATCCCCAAATGCAGAAAACAAAAGGAGAACCAGCTGACTGTTAAAACGTTGGAAGTAATGGAAGAAAGTTGGAAAGCTAAAGGCAACAGACACAAAGCCTTTTCTGTGATGAATGGTTAGTTGGAAACTGTTCATTTTTCTCCTTTTCACCTTGTTATTTTGTATTGTTTTAAATGGGTTTAATGTTGTACACCACCCAGAAAATCATGATGGTGTCAGGCAGCCTTATAAATGTAATAAATAAATAAAGTCATGGGTATATCAGGCATCTGATCTTCATACTGAAGAATAAACGTCCAGGAAGCAACAGTTAGAATGGAATATGAAGCAAACAAATGAGTCTACTGCTGTCCACTATTCCCTTATTTATTTAATTTATATGCTTAATACATTATGAGCAATGCTGGACTTGAAGAAACAGACACTGGGAATGAGAGTCCTTGGTGCTCTCTGAGCTGGCTTGTTTTCTTTCAAACTTTACCAAACTAGGTAACTTCATCAGTATTCATTTAGTTTGGGTAATGAAATGTCTGCAGGAAAACAATTAAGCTCAGAGAGCACCAAGGACTCCTCATTTCAATTCTGAGCTACAAATATTCTGCTTTAATGGAGACACTAGGAAATTTCCTTCGAGAAATTTAAGCAATCTTAACATTGTTGATGTGCCAGTGAGAAAAAATTTAAGAAATACCATGTTGAAGGTAAAAGAAAAGCGAACAAAAGCT